GGCCCCATCCAAATAGAAGGCACCCTGGGTGAATAGTATCTGAGTGTTCTTGAATAAAACATCTGGCTTGGGAAACCAACATAAAATAATCAATTGGTATTCCCGCTTCACGAACTTCATGAAACCAATTGATCATTGCTTCCTCAAGTTCCGGGTTCTGTGGTTTTCTTATTCGTTTATACGAGGATGGAAAGTTTATCAATGTTTCTTTAGAAATTGAACGCAAATGATAAACTTGCTTTGGAGAAATTACTATTTTTAGTTGTTGTCTTACAACTTCGATTACTTTCTGTGTATTTTGATAAAGATCAATTAATTCAATAATTTTTATTTTGTCTTGTAACATCAATGATGTTCTCGTTTTAACACGTTTGGATTGCATTAAAACTTAATGATTTAACAGATTTATTTGAAGTTTTAAGTCGAAACAAAGTTAGATACAAAAGTTTTATTTATTATGTTAATTGTGTTAATATATTTGTCTTTGTTTTTTTGATATATTATAAAATTTATTATTCATTTAAGATAAAAATAATTGCCAATTGTTTTCAAGACATAGGCAAAGTGTTTATTTTGGTTAGAAAAAAATTAAAAATAAAAAAAAAATATTTTTGTGACAAAAAACAAACCGAGGTATTTATTTGTTAATTATACAATTCCTCATTTTTTCCCTTATATCGAATAACATTGGTACATGGTATTCCCTTATATCGAATAATGACTGTAATTACTTTTGTAATCTTTTATAAATGCATATTACCAAGCATTGGTTTCAACAATAATCAAGCCTATTATGTTATCTTTCATAAGAAAAGATAAAGACAAAACAAACGAAATAATAATAATAATTATGGTGGAGTCTAGTTGAAATATATAGTAAATTATATCATTAACAGGTTTTATTTTTTGTGTATTTTTTTCTGTTAATTTATTTCACCATAATACCGTTTTTGCCTAAATCTATTTTTTGAATAACTAAACCTTAGCCTTACTATTTTTTATTAATATCAAACCATTTACTTTGAATGTATTATTATGATAATATTTTCATTTGATTTTATAAATTAATTATGATATTAATGTAATTATACCATTTAATCAATAGCAAATAACGACTTTGTAAAAGTACCAAGGTTTTACTGTTTTCAATATACCTAGGATCAGAATGACCAACTTGGTTATTTTGCCGAATTTTGGTTGGGTTTTATCAGAATGCAGACACCAATTTTTTCACAACCAAAAACCGAAGATAAAACCGATTCAAAAACTTAAAAAGGGGTAGCTACTTTTTGTTTCAAAAATAGTTAATAATCCAAAACAGCTCATTTAAAGAACCGAAAGCATGCCTCGGAAAAATTTGTTTTTTTGCACTAAAATATTTTTTGGCAAATTAAAATAAAACTCACCTCATCCTTAGAATATTAAAATAGTTTGATAGTAAATACGATTAG